CAAATCTACAACATGATATGTGTTCAAAGTTGCTGATGGAGCTGTAAGCTGGGTTTCAAAATTGCAGTCAGTTGTGGCTACGTCCACAACAGAGGCAGAATATGTAGCAGCTACACAAGCCAGTAAAGAAGCAATTTGGTTGAAGATGCTATTGGAGGAGCTTGGGCACAATCAAGAGTATGTCTCTCTATTTTGTGACAGTCAAAGCGCCTTGCATCTAGCAAGGAATCCAGCATTTCATTCAAGGACTAAGCACATACGAGTTCAGTACCATTTCATTCGTGAAAAGGTGGAAGAAGGAACGGTAGATATGCAGAAGATCCATACCAAAGACAACATAGCATATTTCATGACGAAGGCGATCAACACTGATAAATTTACCTGGTGTCGATCCTCTTGTGGCCTGTCAGAGACGTAAGCAACATGATGGTACAAGGTAGAAAGAATGGTGTGAAGATATGATTGTTCCAATCAAATCCTTAAGTGGGAGATTGTTGAAATGTCAAAGCTTGGAAAATTGGTTCAAGTTAGGCACCTAATATTGCAATGTCAAAATTAGGTGCAACAATGTCAAAATTAGGTGTAATAATGTTTGAAAATTAAATGGGTAAATTATAAACTTTAGTCACTAAACTTTAGGGTATTTATAAGATTAGTCCTTAAGTTTCAACTATAAATACCCTAGCTCATTTAGCTTCAAAACCATCCCAAAGCATTCTAGCTTTCTTCCAATACTAGAGAGAATTTAGAGAGTTTCTTGAGAGTTATTTTCTCCTTTTTATCGAGAGAGAATTATCATTGTTTTCTCCTTGGTAGATCGAGAGAGGTTGTAATTCCTATTTTCTCATAGTGAAATTCTTCTACCGTTGCCCGTGGTTTTTACCCTAAATTTTTAGGGGTTATGTTTCTTTTATCTTCATTTTTATTTTCTCAAATTATCAGTTGCGATTTTGCTCTATCCGATAGCCGTCTTCCGCAACAAAAGACACCTCTCCTCCTTGTGCCGATCTAATACCTTCATGGCCAAGCATCTCAGTAGACGATTAATGCGACCCAATGTCCATTGCTTGACGTTAGATATAAGGGTAAACTACGTATCTAATTACTTACCTATTTTTATGGTTTTGTTTAGGTCATTAAATTATTTTTCTTCAAAATCATGTCTAAAATTATATTTTTGTTTTGTTTTGTTCACATATCGTTAAAAAATAAATAGAATTGTTGACGTGAAGTTTTTTATTTTTAAAATGATGATATGACATTATCTTATGGTAACACGTCAATATTACCGTTAATTTTTTAACGACGAATGATCAAAATGAAACATAATATATGCTTTTAAAAAATAATTTGATGAACAAAACGGAACTGTAAAAATAAATGGATGACTAAATACATAGTGTACCCTATATATAATATGAATTTATATCTACCAAGAGCATGTTTGGATAAGTGCGTGCTCCTCTCTAAAGCCACCCCCCTCTAAACGTAAACTTGGGCTCGTTAAATAAGTGTGGTCATGATTCAGTGCTTTCCTGGCCGTACCTTTTAAAGAAGTCCAGGCTTAGATGAATAATAAAGGTCAAATGCATCTATACTGTATATTAAGCTGGGATTTAGTATTTGTATTTTAGTTAATTTAATCAATTTTAAATTATATTTTTTAAAATTGAATTTTTTTCTTTTTTTCAATAGTCTAAATTATTACAAGATAGTATATGTTTATAATCTCTCTTAGTCATTGACAACGCAGACACCTTACAGACGTAATTACTCGAATCTTAGGAAATAACAATCATTGAATTCGTTTGATTAGTTTCGTAAAAATAAAATTTCAATATAAGATATAAGAAAAAAATCGTTGATATATGTTTGTGTGTTCAACAACACGTATTCGGTATTACGCAAATTGTGTTTTTCTAATGAAAATTTTATAATTTACGATTGATTTTTTTATATTTTCATTAAAAACCTTTCGAAAAATTTAAATCAAAAAGCCACAAATAACCCTTATCCTAATACAAAGTGAAACTCAAAATATTAAAGTTGAGAATAGCTCAGGTCTGGATTTAAGCATAATTTATGTTTGTAAATAAAAATAGAGGTGGGAGCGCACATGGAGAACATGGGCGCAGAGGCGAACAGCTTTAATGGGCCAAGGAAGGCCTACCGTTGTCGTTGGCTTCCACTTGGATAGACTATCATTTCCTGCACATGGAAGGCCCTTCTTTGTAATGCCGACATCGTGCCTAAACCCTAAATCGCTTAGGGATTTAGGGTTTCCCCCTTAATTAATATTTATACTTAATTATAAACAATATTTTCCATCTTTTTCTTTCTTTTCAAAGTATCTTATTATCAATCATTTTATTTAACAACCTTCTTTTTGAGTTACCTATAACCACCAGGAGACATATACAACATATATAATTCTATACAAATGAAGTGAAAATATTAGTTTTTCTATTTTAGAGTTTTTTTTATAAAAAAAATCAACATCGCCGTAGATATTCGTTTTTTTTCGGGTCTCGAAAATTGTTTTTTTAAAAAAATGGTTATGACAATCGCGAGTAAGAATTATTTAATTACTTATATGATGTTTATTTTTTAATAGTTTAGAGTGGTTACAAGATATATCTCTTTATAATCTATCTTAGTCATTGATAATACATAGCCTACAATTGTAACTGTTCAAACTCAAAATTTTAAGGGAGAACAACATTCCCTTTCACTACATAAACAATTCAATGAGTTCTACAACGACTAAGTTTTGAGTGTATTATATATATATATATATACATATATATATATATATATATATATATATATATATATATTAGACTTGAGTAGCTATAAGCTGAAATTTGATTATTATAATATTAGTTTTTATTATAAATAATTTTTTCACTTTTAAAAATTAATTTAAAATAAATATGATCCAAATTACTGTATTATTATTGACTTAAAAAAAGAAGCTAACAACCGGTTGCAAAGCATGTGGAAATATAACATGTTTCCACTGTTAGCATTTCTTAGAAAAGTTTAATGGATAATCAATCAATAAGCACATATAATGATATAATCAATTAATCATGCGGCAGAGATTCATCCATGTGCCAAAGCTCTTTGCTTATTTTATAATTATTATTATAAAGAACGGATTACTTCATGTTCATGACTTATGAACGCGTTTTAAATTAGTATATGATTCATACGTTGGTTTGTTGATTTTAGTATTTAGTAATATATTAAGTAAATATGTTTCGTCAGTTGGTCAAACTGTTTCTCTTTATTTCCTCATATTTGTTTAGGTCATAAGTTCTACACCTATTATGAGCATCCCTCCGTTCCATAGAGCCCACTCTTTCCCTCCCGTCTAGGTAGGATTAAGATCAGAATTAAGATTTATAAAAAAAAAACTTAGTAATATATTGTATACATAAATGTATGGATCGAAAATATTCTACTTCACAGGATAAAATATTAAATACAATTATTAATCTTATTAAATAAATATAAATAACATAAAAATATCAAGATGTGTAAAATTATATGAAAAACCCTAAACCACATTTGGATAAGCATAAACTAAGAGGAGAAAATGCTACAGTGTACACTGCACTGTTGCTGTAAATTTCATTAGAAAATTAGAAGGCCTTCGTCTACGTTACATGTATAAATTATGAATGTATTATATTTTATACAAATTAAGTGACCTTAATGATTAAAGAGATTACTGTTATTTCTATAAGTCCCGAGTTCGAGTATAACTTTTGTAGAGGTGTTTAAATGTTTATTGTTAAATGATTGAAAATATTTTTAATATATATTATCTTATGTTCACTCAAGTTAATAAAAAATAATTTGCTCTTTTTAAAATTTAAGGTTTATATTTAGGGTATATGGGGACGAAGGCAAAGAGAACATGCGATGCTTAAAGGTTGAGAATGTCGTGTACAGCATCGGCGGCGGTTTATAGATGCATGCATCTTTGTCCCCAAGATTTGTCTAGCTCAATATCTCACTTTCATTTGCATTTTTTTTCCATTTTGGTTTCAGAACATGTCGAACATGATGGTTTAAATACTTAATTCCTTAAGAAAAACAAACATATATATTTTTATATTAAAAAATGTAATTCATGAATGTCATAAGAAAATCTACCTTATCCCAACATTAAGATCTAAATTGTCTACTGTTTTGTTTACACATATTGACAAGCTGCAATCCTAATTCCTTCATGATTTATGCCTAGGGCTTCCTGTCTGGAAAACATGGGCTAACCACTATGAAACAACATATACATGGAAGTTCTTTCTTACTTTTGTTAAATATTTAGAGTTGAATTGGATCATATTTAGGGGTGATAATTCAGATACTTAAGAATATTTGATTGTTTTTGTGGATTCAAATTCTATTCAAATTTGGATGTTAAAACTTTTATAATTTGTAGGTTTAAAATAAATATAAATAGGCACCCTTAGATATTTATTATCTACTTTCGTATTTCAAATGCGAATTACGAATTTTTATATCTAAATATAATTAAGAATCACAAAATGAAAGTATGTTTTATGAACGTGGAATGATGCGAATGTTGGTTGAGCTGGACAAAGGAAATTGAGGACCCCAGATTCAAATGATGTATGCATTGAATTTGGGAAGTGGGGGAGGAATAATCCAGGGTGTTGTGATGAGATTGAGGGGTGGTTTTAGTGAAGGAGGGTGTTGCGGTTAGGGTTAGGGTTAGGGTTGGGTGGTGGTGGCGGAGTCATGTGGTTGCATGTGCATTGAGCTGGAGGAACATGCCCAAAGCAACCCCTTAATAACACTTGGCTGTCTCTCATTCATCCACCCCAACCTTCCATGAGCCTCTCCACTCTTTTAGGCTGTCATTAATTTATTATGAATTATCCACTTCCAACCCATATAAAAACCTCTCATTATCCCTAATGTTTTCTCGTTGCATCTTAAACAAGAAATTTTGATCATCTCAAATCATGGGAATTCCTCGACTTCACTCGAACGACACCCCAAGCAACGAGGAAAGGTCCGAAGCAAAGGCGAGGAGACGGTCGTTGATGACAAAGAAGCAAAGAACGCCACGAACCAGAAGTGTCTCGATGAAGAGGAGGACAGTTCGAGAACGTTCTAGAAGACTCGTCGTCAACCCCATCGAAAAGAAGGTGAAAACCCTGAAAAGGTTGATTCCCAGAAACGATTCAACGGGGTTGGAGGGGCTCTTTAGGGATACAGCTGAATATATATTGGCTCTGCAGATGAGGGTCGAAGTCATGCAGATTATGGTTAACGTTTTGACAGGTTCTTCTGACGAGTGAATACTTGTAAGGTTGATAAAATTACTAATTCTTTTCCAAGTTGTAGATGTCGAGGTCTATTAAATTTAATGTTACGAGTGAAGGGGCATCATTTTATAATGTTAAAATTTTTATATTATATTTCGTTTTTTTATTTTTCATATATATTTATTGATATTGTTATTATTGTAACATATAAAAATATGTGGGTTCAAACATATTTAAACGTACAATATTTTTTAATCTATGAGTGAAAATAAATCTTATTATTTTATACATAATAACGAAAAAAATCTCACATTTTATTATAATATTTTAATAAATGTATATGTATTAACCTTTTGCATTAAATCTTTATGTGCTTAAAGAATTAAAAAAAATTACTGTATGTATATTGTCGCAACCGTCTTTCGATTGGGCCCCGGAATTGGGCTTCGACTTGGAAAATGTGGATTGGGAGTCGCCACCGACCACTTTAAAATGAATTTAGGTGGGTCGGACACCATCTTACCTGATCTGCGTTGTACAAAACATTGGGTTCGGGAGTCGATTACGGTCAAGGAAGGATTAGCACCCTTGAACCGCCCTTTCGGTACCAATTAATTTATCGGTTGTCTTTAATTGCGAAAATTGGAATTTAAATTAAAATTAAAATTATTCGATCCGAATTACTTACCATTTGATCGGCTGAAATCACGACTGAAACAAAATATGTTAGATAAAAAGCGAAAACAAAATGCTAATAAATAAAAAATGAATAAAAAATATAAAAAATAATAATAATAATGAAAGAAAGAAATAATAAAAGGTTAAGTTTAAAATATTTAAAAGTAATAAAAAAAATAAAGATAAAACTTAGGATCAAATTGGAACAAATTGAGCTTAATGAATTAGAAAATGAACTGCAAAAGAACAATAAAAAGTTAGGGACCAATTCACAGAATATAAAAAAATATAAATAGGGACCAAATTGATTAAATCAAATATGGAGGCAAATTTACAGTAGTGACCAAATTGAACTGCGACTCAAAATGATAGGGACTGCGGAGAGGATTTAAGAATCCTTTATTTGCACACTGGTCCCTCGATATAAATGCCCAAACACATCTTTTCTCAGCTCATTTTCAACATTTCCTTACAGATTCATCTCTCTCAAACGAGAGAAGGCTCTGAACCCCTCTCCCTTGGCGATTCCGACCACCTGCCGACGCTATCCACGACCGCCGATTTTTACCCCGTAAACCTAAATATGTGACTCAAAAACACAAATATGCCCCTACCGGCGTAGATCTAGGCGTAAAGATTCGATTTTTACCCTTAAAACCCTTCGTATCCACGTTTTTCGTTCCTCACGGTGGTGCTTTTCCTCGCGCCAAGGGTTTCGATCCTTTCTTTGATATATTTTGCTTTGTATCTTGGATGTATTTGGTAGTTGTGGTTTGATGGGTTTTTGATGTCTTCTGGTTTCTGGTTTTTGTGACTCTGATGTACTGTTGGCTTCAGTTGATTTTCGTGGTTGGTTGCTTTGACCTTGTTGATGGTCTCACTCTCATTGTTTGTTTGTGGTTGTTTAATTCTCGACGATGCTCTCTGTGGGTTCTGTTTGGTTCCCCATAACCCCCTCTGTACTGTTGGTCGTGGGCTTTTATAACCCCACCGGCCGTTGGGGTCCTGACGATCTCGGGATCGTGGTTGGTTGGCCGGGGATTTCGGGATGGGTCAGTCCCGATCCCCTCGGCTGAAAATCTCGGTGACCGGTGTGTGGTGGCATTCAGGCTTCTGGTAACCTTGATTTGATCTTGACCGTTGGATTGGGTCAGATCCAACGGTACAAGATTGGCCGCGGCTGATAGCTCTTTGTGGGTTAAACAAACCCTGATTCCCTTGCTATGTTAGCCGTTGATCTCTTTGTTGATCCAACGGTCCCCTGTTGTGTGGTGCTGTGACATATACTGGAACCCTAATTTGACCTCTGGGCTGGATCAGGCCCGTCTGACTGGATTTGGACCCGTTTCTGGACCCGTTTTTAGACCTGGAGAAAAAAATATATGAAATTAAATTAAATTAATAAAATAAAATAAAAATAAATTATGATAAACTATATAATATATATATTTCAAAAATATGTTTTAGAAAACTATATATTATACTTAAAAAAAAGTTTCCAAAACTATATTACATAGTTTTCAAAACGTTTTAAAATATTATATAAGTTTTTCAAAAAAAGTTTTTAAAAATATATTATATAATTTCACAAAAAATGTTTTAAAACTATATACTATATGTTTCAAATGGTTTAAAAACTATATAATATAAACGTTTCAATAGTTTTCAAAACTATATATTATATATATTTAAAAATATTTTCAAAAACTATATAATATATAATTTTTGAAAATCATTTCTGAAAATTATATATTATATTTTGTCAAAAACATTTTTACAAACTATAATAAAAAAAACACAATAACTCCGGGCGAAAATGAGTGTCTACATATATATATGCTACCATTGTTTTTGTTTATAATGTAGTGACAAAATATTTTTGTTAAATGAATTTCTATTTGACAATTTATCTCAAATTCAATATTTGGTAACTCTTCTAATCCCTTCATCAAATAATATTGATATTTTGGTTACCTAAATTTTCATAAAAAATTAATTATTAAATATTTTTAGTGATAAAAAGAGTTTTGTTTTCCTTAGACGATTTGAGTTCGAGCAATTATGTTTGTATGACATGTATACGTTATTGAAAAATTAAAAAATTATAAACAAATACTACCTTATAATAATCTAAAACTATTCAAAAGAAAATTGACGTTTTTGTAAACTTAAGTCACATTTATGATACTTTCATAACGTGACATGATTCATTTCAGTGATTTTTAATATTTTATTATATTTTAGTTTATTTTATATTTTACATAGTTTATTACAGTGATTCAACACTAAATTAATTTATAATTTGTTTTATTTAATTTTATTATATATTCTCGACGACCATGCATTCTTGGTTACTGCAATAGCTACACTACGGAATGGGCAACGGATCCATGAAGTCTTTTTTTAGATTTTAGAGTTGTGGGCTTTTTTATACGAATTAGTCTTAGGGATTGTTTGTTTACTTCATAATGATTAAACGCTAAATGATTTAAATGTTGAATGATTTAAAGGCTCTGAATGTGACATGCTGTTTGATAATGGCTTTGAATCATTCAAAATGTACTTCTGTGTTGAGTCATTCAACACTATTTTGATGAATAACGTCATCAATTTTCTAAAATCGCCAAATTACTCAAAATTTTTAATTTTTTTTTCATCGCACTCCCATCGGTCAATCACCCTCCTTTGGTCAGATGTCGTCCCTTCGTTAATGAGACTATATTGCCAGTGTATCAAAATCAAGTTGTTCGAACCTTTGACCGTGCACTCATAGTTGCGTAGTTCAATTGTATGTCAGTTTTAATATACGATTAAGTAAATGTCTTATCGAAAATTTTAATATTTTTTTTAATATTTTCGGTAAACGCTACCTAAAATATTATTTTTTACTGGAAATATTAATTTCGCTAACTAATTTCTAGTATAACCAATATTTCATTTCCAGTAAAAATAATAATGTTTTAGGTAACGTTTACCTAAAATATTAAACATTTTAGTAAGTGCCAATATTAATATTTTCGGTAGAAAAAAAATAATGTTTTAGGTAGTGCTTTACCGAAAATGTTAAAAAATATTAACATTTTCGATAGCGTCTTTCCTTAAACCGTATATTAAGACTGTCGTATCTGAGACATCCCTCATAGTCAGATCTTCAATTTATAAAATCAATTTCACACGGCATTTGGACTATTGGTTGACGAATTTCTTTGATATTATTATTGAGATAATTTTTAAATGTCTTAATAATAATAAGAAAAAATATTAAACATCTACTTTAATATAAAATTTAAATCATTTAAAATAACCAAATACTTCCTCAGTCCCACTAAATGGTATTTTAAAATTATCTCATTCAAAATAATATTAGAAAATTCAACAAAGAACAAAACTTGTATTTCTTTTTTTATCCTTAAATGTCAGTCTTTTACATTTTTTAAAATAAATATATCAATCACATTTTATGAATAATTTTAGGGTAAACTACGACATGTTCACTAATATTTGAGTAGTTTTTGTTTTCACTAATGATGTTTCAAAAGTCACAAATCGGTCATTAGCGTTATCGTTTGTATATATTAGTCACTCGACTTTAACAACTGTTAACATGCATGACGAAAAAACAAACTGGTGCATTAACTGCTTACATAGACTAGGTTAACCGCACGTTGGAGACTCGAAAGCCTTCAATGATCACCTCTTCTCCTTAAAAGAAACTCAATCCCTAAACTTAATTAGGGTATTCATTCCTATATATTCTTTAAAAAAATTCTGAAAATTGTAAGATAAAAGAAATCTTGTGAAGATAGAAGACTCCATTGATGTTCCACTTTGCAATGTGGATGCCCAACTAAGGTTTGATTTTTTATTTTCTATCAAACCCAAAAGAAGCTTACCATAAAACATAGCGTTGTCCCCCTTTACCGTAACCTCCATGTAAGTATGATGGTTTTCTTTACTAATTTTTCTCACTACTTTTTCTCTTGGATAAATAGAAGAAGAAGAAATTGTTTTTCTCACTACATTTTCTCTTAAATGAATTGAAAAAAGAGACTGGGTTTATGGAAGAGGAAGAAGAAATGAGTTATGAAAGAAAGGAATGTGTTTATGGAAGAAGAAAAAATAAGTTTATTGAAGAAGAAGCAACGAGTTTATGGAAGAAGAATGATAAATGAAACCCTTTATTCCCCTCATAATTAGGGTAAACTACACATTTGTTCACTAATGTTTGAGTAAGTTTTCGTTTTCCTCGCTAAAGTTTAAAAAACGTGGCGATCAACCCAGTCCACGCAAGCAGCACCAGATGTGTTTCCGTCACGCCTATTAACGGCTGTGAACGTCGAGTGACCAATTGTAAC